TAATGCTCACACTGAACCTATTTTTAAGAATTAAACTTTCTTAAACTTATATCATATAAAAATAACAGCCCAAGAATACATTTAAGCGAAAGTGTAGGCTTTAGCATAGAACCACGCTCGATGTGTGACGCAAACGCATCGTGAACGCAAACTTACGTTGAGAAGTGTGAAGCAGGTGCAAAGAACGAAAGATTTACGGCTACATTTCATTTCTTTTATTCCCCCAAGATGTGGGGCAGGTAAGCCAGCCTCACTTTGCATACGACCGGTGGGAATGAAATTTGAATTGCCCCAGAATTCTAGAGTCAGGTATTAGAAAAAGCCAAAGAAAGTTTAGCAGTATTTTTGATAGCTGCAAAGACACAGACTATTATCGTGTCGTTTCGGTCGGTCAGCTCGGTTTTTACTGTTCTCGAACTGCGGGCGCAGCTACCGTACGTGTATGCAAGGCACCTGCTTCGCTTTGCAATATTCACGTAAGAAGTGAGCACAAATGCACTAGACAAGTCCAAGAAAATAAAACCCAGAAAATAACAAAAAATAAAATCAATTCCTTGCACATATACTTGCGCTAGTACAGAAATGCTTCTCTTTATATAAATGAAGCTCCAGTGCGATAATCAGTTCAAGTGTTCACTCTAACGCAGACGCTCTTTGAGCTGGTCACGCAATCTTTCCTCAAAAACTCGTCATGCACTCACTCTACGTTAGGGAGGAGTGTGTGACGAGGCATAAGAAGGCTAAGAATGTCTCTGTCGAACGGAGAGGGTACTTCAAGGGTAACAAAAATAAACTGACGCGTTTAAAATAAGTGGTGAACATTCTCTTTCAATGGTTAATCAAGAATGTGCCTACTGAGGTAGCTATAATAAAGAATATTTTGAAGAGTGCAAATTCAGGAAGTGCTTTTCCCGAAAGTCGTTGTAAATGAGTATCGCGGTTAAGTTTCGAGATTAAGCAAGGGTAACGAACGCTATGAAGACGCCGTGTACTTTTGTGAACGCTGAACAATAAATCAAAACACCTTTACGGTTCTTCGACAGCTGAGAAGGGTCACAATTATTTTGCCCTCGAAGGAGCTTGCCCACAATAAAGGGGTTCGTTTGACAATTAGCATAACGAAAGTATTGAAAGCTAACTTCCTGTCGTCTCGGTTATTTTGCGTGATAGAAGCTAAGTATTGCCAATATTTATGCAGCGATTAAATCGGTAACCGTTAAATAATTTGATTTCACAGTAACAAGAGAGGCAGACATTTTAATTTAGTAAACGAATCTACGACCACGTGATTTATTTCCGGTCTTTCTTAGAATTATAAAACAACAACTGTATATCAAATACGGTAATCAGATCATCATCAAGGCCAAAGGGTTTTTTGAAAGCATCGTAAATTTCAGTTTGCTCTGCGTATCCCAGTGTGCAGTATTTGTGAACAATGCCAGATAACCAAGAAGAAACGTTAGGGCAAGCAAGGAAGGAGGTCATTCAAGCAAAACTTCTCCGTGATGTTATCGACGTACTAAAAGGCAACCGGGAAGCTTTGTGTCACCTACCAGAAATGCTTGAACAATTAAGTGAGATGCCTGAAGCGATTCCCAAAGTGGAAAAGGCAACAAACACTCTGGACGAATACAGGTAGAGAACTTAAATCTTTATGAATCAAATTCACTTATCAGTCCGATAGCTAATAGTATATACTGCATGTTGATTTAGACACGTATTTCTTTGTCGTAAGGGTGGATCTAAAGGGATAAATACGTTCAAGTTAAAACGTTGAGACTTTTACAGCTTGCACAAAATTGTACCGCGTAAATTGGTAAGTTCCTGCAAAGTTACACCACTGAATCAGTTACGACGTACTTTATTGCTTACTCATTGGTTATTCATATTATGCGGGGGAGGAACACACCGATAGCAAAGTCGATATCACACAGCGATTATTTCAGAGTACAAGCGAGCAGAATGATTAGAACTTTCGCGGAAACTCGAGATTCATGTGACAGGTGACATCAAAGTGACGTCTTCTCGAATTTTTGTCGGTCTGCGTTGTGCTTCACCTACCAGGTCTCTTCTGCAATGCTTACTACATAGTTTCAGCATTATTATTGTGTATCCTAACAGAAGTGAAGAAGACAAGGTGATACTAGCACGGAAGGAAAAGGAAGATTTGGATAAAAAAGTCAAATCTCTATTAGAAGATAACGATGTAAAAGCAAAACGGTAGGTAATTATGTGTATGCATGCCTTCCATGTATTATTTTGTTTTAGGCTGCCCTTTAGTAGCAGCTGTACAAGTGTCGGATGGTAAACATAACAATGG